GCTAGTTGATTTTAGCCGGATTGAGGTAATTATCTTGTCTAACCTTGTGTAGGGGACTTCCCCTTAGGATTTGAGTCTTCTATGCTATTGTAGTTCGTGCACACGAGGTGACGAGTGTGTGATCGGTCTTATTTGTGGAAAATTTGCCTTTAGGGTTCTTAGGTCCTTATGTTCATTAAGTGGAAAGTTTTACAATATGATTGGGTTCCTAATTGCTTGTTTTACCTCTATATGCTCCATACGACGTTGTTAGCTTTCCCCTAACTCTTACTTGCTACTTGGCCCTTATTTGCCTTAATTGAAGTGATCGTCCTCCTTATTGTGTTGTTATCTCTTAATTGTGAATTCCTCTATGACCCCATGCATATATGCTGTGTGTCCAAATTGTTGTGGTTACCAGTGTAGTTATCACGTGCTTTATATGCCTTGTTGTTTTTGTAAAGGTGGTTGTGCTTCTTGGTTTTTCTGTGATTCTCTTGTTGCCGTGTACTCATATTCTTGGTGGTAGAAATCCTTGTGATTGGGTTGTTGGATTATTGTTGTTGTTGATTCTAAACTATGTCTGGTTGTTGATATGTTGAGGAGGAATAAGGGAGAATTGATGTTGATTAGTGGGATCGGGTTGCACGCCGCAACAAGGAGTAATAAGGGTGGACATGTGGGATGGGGTTGCACGCCGCAACAGAAGGAATAAGGGTGATGTATTGAGGAGCAATAAGGGTGGATTGGTGGAATCGGGTTGCACACCGCAACAAGGAGTAATAAGGGTGAATGATCATGTTGTTGCTGATATGGTCATATATATACTATTTACTCTTATTGAAATTGTTAAGGAGGAATAAGGGGGGATTGGTTGGATTGGGTTGCACGCGCGCAACAAATATATACTATTTACTTTTATTGTAATCATTACGGAGGAATAAGGGAGATGGTGGGATCGGGATGCGCGCCGCATCAATATATATATATGCTCATGTATCCCTCTTTGACTGTACAAGTTATTTGGTGGTTTTACATTTCATTTAGGATTCGGGTTTCACTGAGTTGTGAGGATCAGGTTATTGGCATTGAGTTGTTGACTTGTCGTTGTTCCTTGAATTCTTTCCCTGAAACTATTACTCTAGCGAATTAATTTTTAAAGTAAATTTACTATGTTGAATCATTTCCTCCTATTCTGTTAAGTTATTAGTAATATCGTGATTTAAAATGAAGGAATTAGTATTCCGCTGCTATATATGACTTTTAAATTTTAACTCGCCGTATATATA